GTGTGTGTGTGCGCGCGTGCTAGGGAGTAAAGACTCTGGGTTCAATCCTCTCCACCACCACTATCACTACCACCACCTCCACCACTACCGTCCAGAGAGTGTTAATGTTTTTGACTATGACACTCATATCTATCAACTCAGATATTCGTCTTTTTTTGTGGTGCGAGCATTTAAGATACATTCTCTTGGCAAACATGATTTTGATTACACAGGAATTGTATTAGCTTTTCATTGCTGTGACAAAGTACCTGAGAGTAATTTAAAGAGGAGAGATTTATTTTAGCTCCAAGTTTCAGAGATTTTGGTCCACTGGCCCCATTGCTGTGGGCTGTGAGAAGATTATAGGGTGGAGCAAAGCTGCTCGTCTTATGGAGGCCAGCAAGCAGAGAGAGGGGAAGAGCCTGAGGAGAAGGGGCCAGAGACAGGACATAGCCCCTCAGGTCACACCCACTCACGATCCACTCCATCCAACCAGCCCCACATCCTATTTCTATCACCTCCCAACAATGTCTCCAAGTTATCGTCATCAGTGGTTTAACCCACTTGATGAAGTTAGAACCCTTATGATCCAATTGCTTCCCAAAAGCTTGTCACCTGGCAACCAAGCCTTCAACACAATGAGCATTTTGGGGACACTACAGACCCCACTCATAGTAGTAATTTATTATGTCAATTTCCAAACTAGTCAAAAGCCACCTAGAAAAACAAAACAAAATAACAATAACAACAAAGAGAGTAGCAAAGCTCCCTGTATCTCTGGTGCCCCACCTTTTGCTCTTATGTCTCTTATGTCTGAGTTTTTGTTGTGGTGGTGTTTCAGTTTTACTTTCCCTTTGAAAATGTATTTTCCACATTGATCAGATCCTTGGGAGTGAAAGAAAGAGGTACCCTACATTCATGTGTGTAGATTTCCCCTTCCCTTCTACTTCTCTTCCTTTCCCCGTCCTCTCAGGGGAAAAAGACTCCAAACAGAAAAATAAACAAAAATACAGTTCATCAAAAGAAAAGTGATAAAAATAATACATGTTTTCACCATCAAGAAATTATTTTTGTTGTGAGTTTAATTCCCCACACAGGAAAAGAAGAGAGAGAGAGAGAGAGAGAGAGAGAGAGAGAGAGAGAGAGAGAGATAAAGAGGGCGGGGCTGGGGATTTAGCTCAGTGGTGCTGCCTGCTTTGCAACAGCAAGATCCCAAGTTTGATACCCAGTACAAAAAAAGAAAATGAAAGAAAGAAAGAAAGAAATCATCAAGGTTTTTCTTTCCACATTTAAAAAAACAAAATTACCTTATCACATACAACCTTTGGTGCTTAACACTTTGTTAATGTAACTGACACATTTTCCATGGTAATAAGTACATATGTGCATCATAGTCTTAATGATTTTGTATGTAGTCAATATATCTATGTCTTAAAGCCATTTCTTTATTGCTGCATATTTAGGTTATTGGGAGGGTTACTATTATAATTATACCATAATAAACAACAGTGACTGGATATTTTGTGGTCTTATTTGATCATTTTTGTTGGATAAATGACTAGATATAGAATTACTGGAGCAAAGAGTTTCTATATACTTAACACTTTTTATTTCTGGTACTGGGAATCAAACTCAGGACCTTGCACTTGCCAGGTAGGCACGGTGCTGCTGAGCTACATCACTGGCCTTACTTAAGACTTTTTACTCATACTGCTAAGATGCGTTGTGGTCAGATGATATCAAGGCCATACCAAGCACACCAGGAATGCATGAATGCCTATTATCCTAACTCTATCAGTATCAAATATTAACCCTTGGAAACACTATCAAGCATTCTTGTAACCTTTGCAGATTTGATAGAGAATTACAACATTTATTATTAACACCTGGCCAGTTTTGTTTCACTCATATTTTTCTACTTCTTCCTTACATACACAAACACACTAGATTATTATATTTATTTATTTATTTATTTGGGACCAGGGATTGAACTCTGGTCCTTGTGCTCGCAAGACATGCTGCAAAACCACTGAGCTAAATCCCTGGCACACTAGATTATTTTAAAACAAACTCAAGATGTCATATCAATTGCAGATTTACAGTGTACATTTTTAAAATAAAAGATTTTTTTGGTTATAATGTAAGCACAATTTATTACCACATTTGAAAAATAGCAACTTATTAAAGCACCAGCAAGAACTGAGTTAATTCTCACCTGCTGGGGACTGAACCCAGGGTCTTGTGTATATTGAGCACATGTTCTATCACTAGCTATACTCCAGCCCTTTCTCTTTTTTTCTTACAGTTGGTTTATTTGAATCAGAATCCATACAAGATCAACACACTTGCACGTGGTAAATTTTTAAACGAGGTGAAATTCATACAGCATGTAATTTGTAATTATCATTTTAAATGGCACTGTTTAATGCCATTTAATGCATTCATGATATATGACCACTAGTCTCTAGTTTCAAAATTTTGCAATCATTTCAGAATACCTTTTAAATAGTTGTTCACTATTCTCTTCTCCTTCCAGCCCCTAGTAACCATTAGTCTACTTTCTGTCTCTTTGGATTTGCCTATTTTAGATATTTTATACACAAGAAATCACATGTGATGTGGCTTTTTCTTTTGTCTAGTTTTAATTCTCTTTTAATCAACAGATCGCTCCTTTTCTTTTTCTTGACTTTTATTTGTTGAATCAACCGAGTCATCCTCTTGTGGAGGTTCCCACAATCTGGATTTTGCTGACTGCATCCTGAGTGTGTTGTTTAACATGTGCCTCTACCCCCTACACTTTCTGTTAACTGATAATTAACAGCAAGGTCAGTACATTACAGTCATCCTGTGTATCTCATATTCCTCTACAGAGGAGACACTGAACATTGTTTTAAGTTTGATCAGTAAGCTGGGGTATTTTCAGGCTGACCTAGTCACTCTGAAGCTCTTCTTTTGCTTTTCACCAAATGCAACTAAGAGTCATTACTGATTGTGGCCTGGATCCATGATTTCATTTTCATTAGGGGTTATAAAAGATATAACAATTTTGTCATTCTTTTGCATGACTAGCTATCTTCTACAAAGAAGAGTTTCTTATATTAGCTGTTTGGCTGAAACATATTATGTTCTGAAACATAATTTATGGTAGCCAGATAAAAGTACTTGATTCTTTTTCAAACCAGTTTTTAGAAAATAAATGAGTTCTCTAGTCATCTAATTATCTCCAAAAAATATCTTTGAGAGTTTTTAAAGTATCATTATGAACTTATGGATTGGAACATCACTGACATGCTTTGATCTAATGCACCTAAAATTTTTATGCTCAAACTTCCCCACCTTATGTCTTCATTACAATGTGTTAGAGCCCCTCTTCTTTAAGGCCACAAATTTAGCTGTTAACATCATTTCTCTTTTTATTTAATTTTTTTTCTTTGAGACAGGGTCTTGTTATGTAGTTCAGCCTGGCCTTGAACTCACTATGTAGCCCAAGGTGGCTTTAAACCCACAGCGATCCTCCTGCCTCGGTCTCCTGAGTTCTGGGATTACAGGTATGCACCACCACGCCAAGCCTCTTTTTATTTAATCTTGAATGCATTTTTAATTATTTTTGCAATACATAATAATTTTTCTTACTTCTTAATGGCCCAAATCAATTACAAAACCCCACCTAGCTGCAAAGGAGTCTGGGAATTGTAAAATTGAGAGATTCTATGGAAAATGGTGGAGAGAACATTGAAGGACAGCCAACAATCCCTGCCAGGGTCCCTCATGTGCCTGAGTAATTCTGTCAGTATTCTCTTTGAGTCTCATAACTTGTTCAGTAGATAATTTGAAAAACATTTTAATTATAAAAGAAAACATGCTCATTGTAAAACAAAAAATTTAGATGTATATAATAGAATCTGAAAAAATCTCCATCACTACCATCCTACACTTCACTCTAGAGGCAACCACAATTGACAGTTGGATATGTTTCCTTCTAGGCATTTTAATACATTTTTATGAGCACATATCCACACATACCCCTTTATAGATGCATGTTTATATATATCTATATTTCAAATAAAGTCATACAATAAATTTATAATAGAGTAATTTATTTTTCATAAAGTAATTTGACTTTTCATTTATTTGTCTTTTTTCTTTTGTCTATTTTGGAGATTTTATGGCAGTATATAGTATTATTCCATGATATAGATAAATCTTTATATAAACATATTCTTCAATGATGGACTTTTTTAGATACTATTGTCTTAAATTTGACCTTTGTTGGGATAAATATCTAAGGTGAATTGATGAGCTTTCAGCTCTATTTAGATCTGAGTTAGCAAATCCAGTGATTGTTATACTTTGTGCCCAATCATCACCTG